TGCAGAAGCATCAGTGGCTAGATCGATCAGAAGGGCTGAAAAACTGTCGTACGGCAAAACGTGTTGGTCCACGTATGGGAGGCAAATGTCGAATCAGCTACTGGAAGTTCTCTCCAGTTTCGGCCTTGTAACAGAACAGGTCTTGGTCAAGCACCTGAACCTGCTCAGAAACTCCAACTATTACTTTCAAAATTCAATAAAGTATGTCCACTCCACGACAACCGAGACCACGTGTTTCGAAATGGCACGGCTCTGGATTTCGAAGCTTAGTTGAGAAGTGCTACCAGATCCACCGTGCAGCGGTGATCAGCCTCCTTCCAAAGGCCAACTATTCTTGCTAAGGAATCATCTTACGGACAAAAAATACGATTCAAAAAGGAGCTCGAAATCGACCTCACTGCCTTTTCCAGCTTGAAACTGCCGACCTTCTGGGAGCACGGCGTCGACACTCTGGTGGATCGTTGGCAACAAGTCACTGATAGCGACGGTCCATATATTGATGATGGATATTGCTTTTTGTTGAGATAACGTTTATTTGAAAAAAAAATGTTCGCAAGTGGCACGAACTTTTGGGACAACCTAATATTAGGTTGATTCATAAGTTCATGCCAATTTTCTCATACCCCCACCATCTTTCCTGGAAAATATTGTGTTGTCCCCGCAAGGGACTATGTGGCGACTTTAATGACTTCTGATATTACATAATTCGACCATCAACACTCTACTACTGTCTGTTTTACAGATTCCGTGTTGACCACTCAGGAAAACGAGCCTGTCGGATTACTTGTGAATCTAGAGGACCTAATTTGCTGGAAGAAAAGTCCTGTTAAAGGAGTTCGGCAAGCTTCCGCGGGGCGGCTGCGGCCCTGTAGACCAAACGCGTTTCCGACACCCAATGATCGTAGATGTGAAACGCACGCAAGAGCTCTTGAAAGCAACCCGACACCAGTACCCGTAAAACTGCAGTAGGCCTTCAGTAACACATCATATGTCGTTTCTTTTGAGCTCTGAAGAAATTGC